AAACAAGGAAAAGTTGAAGACAAGAAAAGCAAACTTGGGACAAGGGCCTTAACTTGAAACGTTTCAATAATTCATTCTATCTAAAAATTGACACGACTGACTGCAAATCATTTTACCGTTTATTAAACTATAGAATTAAGTTTAATTGTGTGAACATTATTTTTTTATAAAATGATAAAGAAAAAATTTGACCGTGCTAAAGAAGTTTACACGTAATTTGGAAAAAGGCTGAAGGACTTTCACTTTTGGGAAGACCATAAATTCTTGTGTCTAGCCCTACAATTTTGAATAATCCATCACTCCTTTGTTTCCCGACTTGTGTTTATCTCTAAGAAAATGGCATGTTTAATAAGGTTTTCCCAAATCCGCTGCCTTTCCTTCATGTTGTTATATATGGTTTCGAGTCCAAAGCTCCTCAACTTCTCAATCTTCTCCCGATTCATCACCACATTTGTGCCGTCCTAGAGAGCGCTCTGCATTGCTTGATTTCAACGGCACTACGGATATGATGGATTACTCTTTTTGTACTCCTATAATACAAACTTGGAATGAGAGTAAAGACTGGGGGCATCACATGCGACAAGGTGAAAGGTCACGTGATTGGCCTTGATCTTAGTCGGAATTGTCTTAAAGCCAATCTAACTACAAATAATGGTCTCTTTTGCTTTGAGAAATTGTAGAGTCTCAACCTTTCTCACAATTATTTTCATTATCCTAACATCTCATTTGGGTTTGACCGTTTTTAGATAAATTCCTTAAAAAATCTTTTAGGAAAATGACCTACATTACACTAACTTCTTTTATTTTATTTTATCCTTGTTGAAAAGTTATTAGTGAGCATGGTAGAATAGTAGAGAAGACGGACTTCACAAGTTATGATTTGGGCAATGAAAGGGCTAAATGAATGTAGTATTCTATTATTGTAATGAAGAATTCTTCAACTAGAAGACATGGAATAAGTTAAGGTTTTCTGAAATATTGGACTATATAATAATGTGTGGAAAGTGTAAAGAAGAAAATTTTGTGTAAAACCATAATTAATGTATCAAAAGTGTAGAGAAGAAAGTGGAAAATTAATTACTCTAATACTTGATGAAAAGGAATGAAAGCAAAAGGGGAAAGGGGAAGTCATCGTTGGACTAGAAGCATGTGGTGTGGGTTTAGTATATCAACGTGTGGAATAAGTCAAGGTTTTTTGGAATATTGGATTATATATTAACGTGTGGAAAGTGTAGAGAAGAACATTTTGTGACATGGAATAAGTCAATGTTTATTGAAATATTGAATTATATATTAACATGTGAAAAGTGTATAAAAGAAAATTTTGTGTAAAACCATAATTAATATGTAAAAAGTATAGAGAAAAAAGTGAAACATTAATTGCTCTAATACTTGATGAAAAGGAATGAAAACAAACAGGGAAAGGGAAGTCATCGTTTGGCTTGAAGCATGTGGCATGGGTTTAGTATATCAAATTAATTGGATTTTTATTCATCAAAAAAAAAAATGAATTTTGAATAGAAACAATGCATAAAATCATGTGAAGGGCAATTGCATTTCTTGGTCATTATAACGTATACATAAATATGGAAAGGTTAGGTTGTTATCATTTTACTCTAAATGAAAATAAATATTATAAAAAAGAGAAGTCAATGTTGGAGCGGAGACATCACACATTAGTGTGCCATGAAAAGTGTAGTCAAATATTTATAATTTATTTGTTATTATTTTTTTCTTTCATATTCTTCCATTATATCATTTATTTAATTTTTAGTCACTCTTTGCACGTCCAACAATCATTACATCATTACATATCTTTTTTTGGACACAACTTTTTAATTCCATATAAAAACATAAATTGTGTTTTTATATCCTTTTATTACTATTATTATATATCATTACCTATCAATCATTAGATATCTTTTTTCGTTAAAAATAAATTGTGATTGAATTATGCGTTGTTAGAGATAAAACTATAAATTGTAGTTAAATTCATATAGTGGAATTAATTGGATTCCAACATTTTCAATATGTTTTCTTTAAGAGATTCATTATTATTTAGGATTTTATGAAGATTTACTAAATATTTTAGAAGTTTTATTACATATATATTTAGAATTTTAGGCAGATTTATTGAGAATTTTATTAAGAATTTTAAAAGGCTTATTAGATATTTATTGGAGATTTATTAAGGTTTTTAATTATTTTTATAATATAGTATATAAAATATAATATTAAAAATA